CAAAATGTTTTATTTTATATTATTCAATTTACTAATTGCTACAATAAAATTGATAATATTCTAAAATTTTGTAACATAAATCATAATTTTATCTCACCATAAATCATAATAATTTTATGTCAAAAAATATTTGTGGCAAAAAAAAATTTTGATTGTCAAAGTTGAACTCAAAGTTACAAAAAAATGAAAAAAAATGCTTACATTTATTAAGAAAGGTAACATCATTAGAAATGTTTATATTTATTAAAACACATAACTATCATTTTCACAAAAAAGAAAAGTGATTATGTGAAAAATATATATTTTTTTTTTTTGTTTTTTGGAGAATATTTTTTTTTGGGTTAGATAAATTTAAACTCAAAATTTAAATTGAGTTCTGTTAAAATGTAATCTTTTCACAAGGCAAGTGAGAGAGAGAGAAAGAGAGATAATGAAGGTGGCATGATTTGTTTAAAGACTAAAAAAAGTTTTTTTTTTTTTTTTTTTACAGAACTTTTTTATCCACCTTAGTAAAAAAGCCCATGAGAGACATTTTTACAATAAAATTTTTTTTTTCAATTTTTACTTTAATTTTATTGGGTGTCTTTTTATCAAGTAATTTTACAAAATTTATTTAAAAGTCGAAACAAGATCTATATTTATAGTTTGACCTCAAATTTTTAACAACGAATTTAATAAATTACATTTTAATTTAATAATTGTACTTTTAATTATATTTTAATCTCATAATTTAAGGAGATGCAGGACCACTAAAGCTACTGTCCAAAAAAGTAAAAAGAAATTTGTCCATATTTCAAACCTGCAATGGAGATTCAAGAGGTGTTTTTTTAGGTCCATGCATAAAATAAATTTAAATAATGTTGAATAAAATTGAGATATTTATTCACAACTTCTTTTTTATCTATTTTGTTTAAATTAATTTTTTATGTTCCAATAAATTTTATGAACAACATAGTTACTAAAATATTCTTAATAATAATAAGGTAAAGTGCATTAATGTTAACAGTGTGAATGTACTGTAATATAAATATTCACACTATTCACACTGTCAAATATAAATGTTCACATCACTAAATTGTTAAGGGTTTAAAAAATCTTTGTAAGTGTACAATTGTTCAAAAAATACCTTAAATTTGAAATTATGATTTAGTGAATCAAATGTCCAAATAATAAGACTTAGAATACAAGAATATGTCATGTATTAATTAGAATACAAATACTTCAAATAAGATTTCCTAATAAATTTCCCAACTAAATTTTGAGTATATATTTTCGGTCCAGACACACAACTACACCCATATTCATACTATCAATGTAATATACTAACGGAAAATGTTTGGTAGCTCAAAATTTTGTGGCTCAAATGGCTTAAATCTGTCAAAACGACGTCGTTTTACACTTATTTACACTCAAAACGACGTCGTTTTGAGTGATTTGAGCCATTTGAGCCACGAAATTTTGAGCTACCTAGCATTGTCGTATACTAACATAGCTTTCGTTGAATGAATGCAAATTTCAAACAAGGAAATAACACTGTATTTGGATAGAGATTTCAATAGAAATTTGAAAATAAAAGAGAAATGAAAAAAAAAAAAATTAGCTTATATTTTATTAACAATTATCTCACCTTTTCCTTTTTTTCTTTTTTTTCTTTTTCTAAATTCATGCCTAAATCTATGATTCAAAGAGATTGATTTGAAAAAGAAAAAGGAACTTAGGTAGATTTTTACCTCTCAAATGATGTCAAGAATAACCCGATCTAGATATGAATGATAAAATTCCAACACCATCAATCTTACTCAATCTGGAGTCACGGTGAGATAGAGAGATTCAACTTTGAATGAAGGGTGTACAGAAAAGAAAATTCTGCACAAATATAAAAAAATCATGAAGGAGGTAACACTTTACTTTAATCATGTATTGATGCCAAGAAGATCTATGAAAATATTCATAGAAAAGAGTACAAAATTTAAATAAATAAGTCCGCAAAATAAAAAGAAATACCTCTAAGATCTCAAGATTTTAGCACCATGTGAGATTTTAAATATCTTTCCTCGTCACCAACAAGATTCACAAGAATTTCCTAATCAGTATTCTTCAGCTTTGCATAGCTTAATGTCTTACCAAACCTTAACAATAAAAAAATTGAAAACTATAGCTTTTGCAAAATGTATTTATTAAATTGAAACAGAACATGATCAACCCATGAAAAAAGAGAAATAAAACAATAACTATCAGCCAAAGTTTTGATGTAAAAGTTTAGGAAAATGTTTGAGGGCCACAATTTTTGTGGCTCAAATGGCTCAAAATTGTCAAAACGACGTCGTTTTGGCAATTTTAACCATGAAAAAAGGAGAAATGAAACAATAACTATCAGCCAAAGTTTTGATGTAAAAGTTTATAGTGGTTTGTTTAAACGAAGGATGAGACAAAACAACAATAATTTAAGCAAAGAATAGCTCACCTTATCTTTTTGCTCACCTATCTGCAGATCTTGCAAATTGTAAGTAATGAATAGAAGAAGAAATATATATATCGCACGTTTGTTTTAAGAGATAGGTTGACTGAGATTGTTAGGAAGAGGTTAAAAAAAATTGTGTTTATTTGATAAAGATAAGAATAAGATTAATTATGTAAAATTTTAAAAATACCCTTATTGTATTATTATCAAATTTGGATTTATACAAATTAATAAATGCATTAAATATTTTAATATTAAAAATTATATTTCATAAATATATTTTTTTGGGTACTATTTTATTATTTTTTTAATATAATTTTTTTTGGTATAAATATTATTTTATACTATTATATTTTTATATTAAAAATTATTTTTATATTAAATTATTTTGATATAAAGAATGGAGTAAAAAATAGTGGAATAAAAAAAAATAGTAAAGAAAAGACCAAATTAATCAAGTAGAGTAAGTAAATTAGGTAGGATAATAGAGGGCAAAATAGTAAATCCTCCTCTAATTCCAAGGGATTGTTTTTCTAATATCATCTCCCATGAAAAATTATTAATCTCATCCATAGAGACCTATCATAGTCCCAAAGTATTGTGAATCTCCTTTCTCATTTCGTAAACAAACACAATATTAGTGGACCCCACATCCATCTTAATCCGATCTCACTTTCTATAACCCCAAAAAAGGGGACCATGATATACTTAACATTTATCTAGAGCCAAACACGCTCCTAAGTTAAACTTCACTTAGGCCTCGTTTGGGAACAGGCTAATTTAGTAACTTTTTGGCTATTTGGCTAAAAAGGTAGGTAAAAAAAACTTGTATGTTTGGGATGACTTTTTGGCTAATTACGAAAAGATGTGCAAAAAGTAGAGAGAAAAGAGAATCTTTGACTTTTTGGTATGAGTTGTTGGCTTTTTGGCTAATTTAGTAACTTTTTGGCTAATTGGCTAAAATAGCATCTTGCCAAACGATGCCTTAGGATATCTAAACTCAATTCCAAACTTGATTGTAGGTGTGACCAAACACCACCTTTTAAAAAAAAAATGCAGATCTTTATTTTATTTTGTCTTCATTCTTCTCTCTCTAACTTCTCTATACCTTTCTCTTATTTTCCCTTACTTTCTTGTTGGCCAAACACCCCACATTTGCTCCACCCTTACACCATCACCTCAACCCACCATTTCTACCACGGCCGGCCATGTTACCTCATCGAAAAAAGCTCTAATCACCACTTCTCTTTCTTCAAAAATAGCACAATAGAAGTTCCAACTCTAAAATTTTCTTAACCTCTTGAAGGATCAAAGCTTGAATTTTCTTTTCTTGAGGGATTAGAGGTTTTTAGGGGCTATTTGGCATACACTATATAAGTGTACTTATTTAGATAACTACACTTATTGGATCACATCATCTCTTTATTTTTCTTTACATATTTTTGTAAAAAGTCAAAAAATATACTTATTTAAATCATCTCAAATACCCCTTTAATTGGTAAGAATATCTCTTTAAAAGGTTTAATTTAATGTTTTACATTTTTAGAGTTTGAAATGGTGATTTCTAGATTTATGGTGATTTAGTTTTAGTTATTGAGTTTTATACTTGTATTTAGGCCTCATTTGAAATGTGCTATTTTAATAATTTTTTGATTTTTTAACTAAAATATGAGAATAAAAAAAAACACTAATATGATTGAAAATAATATTTTAACTTTTTAAAAAAAAAGTCAAATAAAATATTTTATGAAATCAAAAAATAGGTAAAATTGACAAGATAGACTGAAATGGGATGCATCAAGTGGGACTTCGGTTGTTGAGGAACCATAAATATCGGACTTCGCCATTTTTTTATTCCCAAAAAATCCTAGGCAGTTTATGTGTTACAATTTTATTCAGGTTCCAATTTTTGGAATGTAATAATTTTATTCAAAATTTTTTTGAAAAATTCTTTTTAAAATTTATAACTAAATTTTTTTCAAAATTTCATTCAAAATAAATTTTTCAAAACTCCATTCCAAAACTTTTTTCAAAACTCATAACCAAACTCTCTGCGATACTCTATTTTCCCAAAAAAAAAAAAAAAAGAAGTAAAAAAACTATAATTTTAATTTTGTTCTTTCAAATTAAATTTTTTCTACTTTTGTGGAATCTTGTTTTTTGCAAGAAATATTTTTTTGGTCTACTATTTATGAAGAAAAATCTTTTTTATTTAATTTTATTCAAAAAAATATTTTCTTATTTTTGGCCAAAATTTGTTATGATTTTTGTATTAGCCAAAAAATATGTACCCAACTCTTGAATAAAATTAAGAAAATTTGTAAATATTTAAAAAAAATTATTGAAAAATATAATTCAAAACTTTTTTTAAAACTCTCGAGGAAACTTATAATCAAACAAGTTTTCTCTTAAAAAAAATCATTTGAAAAATTATCTTTTAAAATATAACTCCACACTCAAAATTTCAATTCAAAAACCAAACGGAGAGCAAAATAAATAAATAAATAATTTGTTCACTTTAATTATTATTTTTGTATTCCTCTATATTGGTTTTGACATTAAAAAATTTATAAAAAAAAAAAAGTAGAGACTGTGTTTGGTTGTATTCTGTAAATGCATTTTCACCTCTCCATTTCAATTTTATGTATGGATAGAGTTTTCAAAATGTAATTTCACTACACATTTGAAAATGTAATTCTCTTTCCCGTTTGGCAGATTCCTCTCCGTTTCATTTTCTCCACTCTTCCCAACGTACATGTTCTCTCTCTTTAGTCTTCTCCAATTCTAACAAACTTCACGTTGAAGATGCTTCAGAGCTGATACGTATATCCTTCAATAGATCTGGTGTGGAATAACTAAGAATGTGGAATGAGTTTTCTGATTTAAGCAAAAATAGCTGAGCCGGTCGTCCACGGGGACTTCCGGCCGATCAACCGCCACTCTTTGATAGATGATAAACAAGCATGTCTTCCGTCCCTGAAGCTTTCATCAAAAGAGAGAGAGAGAGTACAGTAGTATAAATGGTGTGAAGTCTCACTCATTAATAACCCAACTTCGCTTCTTCTATTCTGGTACTTGGAAAACTTCAAACCCCTCTACACTTTGCCTTGTCTGAAGAAACTCTGCACTCTCTGTGTCTCTGTCTCTGTATATGTATATGTATATCTCTTTCTTATATTAACAGCACATCAACACTTTGAAGAGAGGTAGAGTCATAGACAATGGGTGTGTTGTTGGGCAAAGAGCCCACAATTTTATATTAGAAATTAGCCTATCACCCGTGCTATGCACGGAATAATTATAGATATTTATATTTGTTTTAAATTTTTTTTAATATATAAATTATGTTTTTTAAGATTTTTTATAAAAAGAATTTAACAATCTTATCACTAACCATGGTGTATATGAGAAATTAAAAAGGCTACTGCAGTAACTATGCACAGGTTGTATCTATAATTATTTGTATGATGAGATTTTAAATGCTGATTAGAGATTTTGACCAAATCAATAAATGCAGGTATGTGGAAAGACATGTGGATTGAAAAAAAAGTTAATAAATGCTGATCAGAAGATTTTGACCAAATCAATAAATGTTGAGTTTTTTTTTAAATAAAAAATTTAGAAAATTAAGGTTGAGAGATTGGAGCTCTATGTGAATTGTGATTTTTAAATTTATTTATTTATTTATTTATTTAAATGTCTTCTTTTTTTCTTTTTTTTTATATTATATTAAAGTTTAATATTTTGATAATAATCATATGTGTTGGACTTTTCAAGAATTTTTTTTTTATACTTGTTCTTAATGCATTAAAGTGTTATTATGAGAGATAATAATCACATGTGTTGGGACTTTTCAAGAAATTTATATGTGTTGGATTTCAAATAATTTTTTTTATGTTTGTTCTTAATGCATTAAAGTGTTATTATGAGGGTAAGACTTGGAAGTTGGAAGAAGTTAATAAATGCTAAGATTTTTTTTTTAAATCAAAAAATTAGGAAATTTAGATTGGGAGATTGGAGCTCCCACAAGACTTAGGGTTGAAAATCCCCTTTTGCTTAATATATAGTATAGACAAGCATATCACCCGCGCTATGCACGAGATGTCATCTTGAGTATAATCTTTCCTTGTCCTTCAATTTTGGAAGTTGAGGAGTTGCCCAAAAACAGTTGTTCATCATTGTCCACTAGAGAATAAGATGTGAACATCTTTTGTCGACACAAATATGGTGAGTAGCACCAGTGTCCACCTACCATTCTTTAGGATTTCCTACAAGATTTGCCTCGGAAACAACTGCAGAAAGATTGATGTCATCGACACCATTGGAAATATTGTCCACTTCGGTCATGTGGGCTTGAGCAGGCTTCTTGCTTGTTCTTCTTTTGTCTTTGCCTTTGCTGCGGCAATCTTTGGCCCGATGTCCCTTTTTATCATAGATGTAACATTTGCCATTAAACTTGTACTTTTTATTTCCCCCCCCCCTTAGAGCCTTGTGATGAACTTTCTCCAGAAGACTTTCGTTTCTTGATTTTTGAAGCATGTTCCACCACATTTGCCTTAGACTCCATAGGAAGCTTACCAGCCCGCTTTTCAGGATTGCGGTTGTCCTCCTCAATCCTTAAACGCACAATTAACTCATCTATAGAAATTTCTTTGCGCTTGTGTTTAAGGTAGTTCTTGAATTCCTTCCAACCTTTGGGTAATTTTTCAATTAAGGCTGCAACTTGAAAGGATTCACTGAGAGACATACCTTCTGCGTGAATGTCATGCAGAATGAGTTGGAAATCTTGAGCTTGGCTGATCACAGTTTTTGAATCAACCATTACAAAATCCAAGAATCTGCCAACCACAAATTTCTTTGAGCCGGCATCTTCCGTTTTGTACTTTTTCTCCAACGATTCCCAAAGTTCCTTTGCTGTCTTGATTGGACTGTTGACGTTGTATAATGTGCTGTCAAGTCCGTTCAAGACATAATTCCGGCAAAGGAAATCGGCATGTTTCCAAGCATCAACCGCAGTAACCACTTGCCGGTCGGTTTCATCCTCTTTCAGGATAGGAGCATCTTCACGGAGAAAACGAGCCAGGTTCAAAGTTGTAAGATAAAACAACATTTTCT